ATTCTTGCAGATTCATTATGCCATTCAAAGAGGTCATAGTCCTCCCAGGCAAGAGTTACTGCCTCCACCGACCTCCTGGGAAGATTCTTACTGTACTTCTTGTACTTTTCAAAGTGTGCTAAGCTAGCATATGCGGTCTTTGTTAAACCACGTGATTTTGTTGGAAATGCCTGGAAAGCAATGAGCGGAACATCTTCCCAGTAGATTTGAAAGGACAGTGAATTCGGGCAGAATCCTAGGAAAGGCACCTGATGACAGGAGAACAGGTTACAGCCTCCTCCACCAGCACGGCTGCCCTTGGCATCCACTGTAGCTGTTGCTTCCCTGCAGCTTCTTAAGTGTTTTAAGATACCGTTTAATGGGAAGGCGTAGTCCAGAACATGACACTTAGTCAAAACAGTAATAAAGACAGGAAGGTGAAATTGCTGTTTGCCTTTGCATCCTAGTCTCTTCACATTGGTCCCTTCAAATTGGCTTCAGATGAATATAATATTACATCAAAATACACTCATAAATTGTTTCTCCCACAGCCTGTATTTGACCCGTCCTCTCTAACATAAAGACACTCTTTCCAGAGGATAAATTACTGCTTGAAGAATTTTAATTCTTGTTATTATTGTACCTTTATATATGTATATAAAACAGGAAAATATTTATATTAAGCTTATTTTATAGGCTCCCATCATGAAAAACAGAATGGAATAATTTATTTTGAAATATTCTCCTTCCTTAGTTAAGGGGATGTGGTTCTACTCAAAACTCTGTATACACGTTATCGGGGGGGGGGGGGGGGGAAATCACACAGTGTCAGTTTATTACTGGTGGCAGCAAACACCGAAGAAAAAAAAAAAACAAACCTTTGGTTGTGAGCATACAGAATGTTATCCTCCTTAATAATTATGTACATACAGCAGGTGCTCATCAAATGTATCCGTCAGTATGTTTCTTTTCTGGGTGTCTAAGTTTCCTCAAGCACCATATCAACTTAAAATCTCTTGCAAAATTATTATATCCCATATGCTACTGTGGATAGATAATAGCATACCTGCTTCCCCACCCTCAGCCCCCCCAGCCCAAGAATGCAGTGTGGAAGAATCTTCTTTTTAAAAAGAAGTGGAATGTGAATGGGTGATAGAGTAGCATTGCTAAACATGACTATGAACACCAGGATGCCTGCTGCACACAGGTTATTACAGCTCTTACTTTATCTAGCTCTACAGAAAGCTCAGGATGGGCATAGTGCCTCTTCCTGTTCGCATCTGCTCTCTTCTCAGCTTTACCATAAGATTGAAGTCAAAGGATGTGCACAAAGCTCCTGCTCTCTCCGCTCAGGGCTCAGTATTTTCCCAGACGACAGAACATTCTCCTTTACTCATCGCAGGCGACAGGAGTAAAGACAGCTTCCTACTCGTTTTGTTATGACTCACCAGAGAGGAACAGGGAGAGAGAACACTCTCCTGCTCAGTCAATGAAATCTTTACAGGTAAGATATCTCATTAGAGAGTCCTATTTCAAAGAATAAGTATACTGTCTATTTTATACGTCAAATAAGAAAAAATAGATCTATGACATCCTCCAACTAAATTCTAAACAAATCAGCAGTGAAGCTGCTGACATTTAAAACTAAGAGCCCTTACAAGGCCTTGAGAAGCAAGTTGGCAGGATCCCCTCAGACTTCAACGTCTTGGGCTAACCCAATACTAAGAGTGAGTTGATAAAGGAGATATTAAATATTTAAAGGCAAGCGAAGTATTTCTCAGATATTTTGGTCACAGTAACATTAGCTAATCCACGTTACAAGCAGTACACAGAACACTTCCAGCAGAAGCGTGGCTTGGGCTGCTTCCACGTTAAGACTGAATGATTACGCAACAACCACCTCTGTGAACTATCCCTTCGACCCTCCTCCTTTCTTCCATCTTATTTTGTTGACTTGAATAACAGATTCAGTGCACATACAACATGCACTGAAAATCACACAACATATGAGTTGTATAGCATTTCACAGAGGCCTAACTAAAACCTCTGAATCACCTTGCAATGCTTCACTGAATGTACAGGGGATGGAGGTTAATACCGTTATCCTTCCCTCAGCAAAATGACAGATGTAATTCCTTTAAGATGACATTTAAAGGATCAGTAAGCTTTCATTCCTTTCTCTTAGCACATTTCAAATCCAAATTTCTATACATGGATACCCCAGAAGATGCAGTTCACTAAGGCTCTCAGAACTGAACCACATGAATCACTTTTAACGGTAAAGTGTATTTCACTAGGTTGTGCCTATATTATACATCCTACATACAGGTAAGAACTGTGATTGGGTATAAGGCTGAACACCTTATTTTATCTTCAGTATTTATTAAAATCTTTTGAAAAATGTCTAACAGTTTGAGATCAGTATTGTCAATTTTTGTAGAGCCTAAAAAGTGTTAGCACCATCAGCAAAAAAGATGAGTTTCTAACAGTTTAAAGTGATGCCGTTCCGGATTTAAATTGATATATACTTGATCTGACCATTTTTCTATCTATTCACACAGATTTTACAAACATCTGGGGAATCCTCCCCAAGGGCCAGTCCTTCATTAACTTTGGCTTTTAGATTTGTACCAATATCCAGAAGTTTGTACAGCTACAGACTAGAATCTTCTGACTGGTTTCTGTGGCATGACTAGAAGATAGAGAAGTAGTACTTTACAAATCTCCGCCAAGCACTAATAATTGTACTCCTTTAAATATGTATTAAAAAGAATAGATATCAGAAGCGAACAGCAAGCAGAAAAAGAGAAAAAAAATCCTGAGCTAGGGAACTCTAGCGCTTTATCTGCTGTCAGTTCCAGGGTATGATTGTGATCTTTCAACCATTAACAAAAAAATCATGTTTCGGTACCTAAAGAGTTTAGGTGCAAAAAGGGAATTAAAGCAAAATGCCACAGCTAAATATGCATCGGGAAAATATGCCCATTTACCAGATAGAAAAAGAGTAAGCAGTTTACTGGTTAAGGTTACTGAAAACAATATTCAGAGTAACTACTTCTAGCTAAGTATGAATGTTTACTATGTTGTAACCTACCAATTAGAATACCAAGGACAAACCTTTACAGATTAATAACATGCTATTACTAAGTACAGAACCCTAGAGGAGAGAGGCTTTCAAACTTCTTTCGGGTTCCACTTCCTCTGTTTGGTAACAACGTGAAGCATAGAAGAGGGCAGGAACTTTGATATGTTTTTTATTTTTTAGAGAAGAAAGTTTATCCTGGTGCCTGCAGTGTATCACAACACAGAAAGCTACTAACTTACTGTCCTTTTTGACCATAACTTTCAGGAATAAATTATTTTTAATACATTGCTCCTTAAGTAGCTTAAGCATGTTCAGTAATTACTAAATACATGCTAAAATAAAGTTCTCCACAAATCTTCAAAGCGTTTTCCCCCGTTTTATGGATTTCACTAAACCTGTTCACTAGCTTTATGACTGGACACATTCCCAACCCAATCCACACTACACAATGCCTTTCAAATACTGCTGGCAAAGTCAATGAGATTACTTAAATACATAGTAAGAAGAAACTGTATCAGAAAAAAAACAATTCTCAAAAATAGGAGAAAAGCACTCACTGTTTTTCACCTGGATCATCATGCAATCGCAGCTATAATGTCAATCATGCTCACATGTCCCATTGCTAGGCCTCTAACAGTCAATGGCAGCTTGTTCTAATCGCACGTTAAAGATGCAGATCAAGCTGTATGCTAGAGAGCACTTGTTCATACAGCCTGTCCAGTACAGATGGCTCTATGGCCCGACTTCTAAGTACCTTTACACAGGACACAGGGACAGTCACGTGCCTCAGAAAGAGACCATGCCACTGCCAAGGAGCACACTCATGTACAGGAGAGCCAATTGCAAATACTGAAGAAAGGAAACACATCTCAAGTCCCACTCTTCTTTGGAAATCACATTTCTAACTCTGAGTCTTGTTAGAGAACACACTCCCCATTCAGCCTACTCCACAGTCTCAAAGCCAGCGCATCCTCCTGAAAGGTAAGTTTTTGAGTCCACTCAGCCTTCAGGCAGTGAATCAAATCTCCCATTTTCTGATCGGGTGCTCAGAATAGCTAGGCTAGAAAACCACAAACAGGCATCAGAATGAATTGATCAAAAAGTTATTGACCGAAAAAAAAAATGAAATACTTCCACAGTATGAAAGCTTTCTATAAAAGAGTCAAAAACAAGCTTAGAAACCCTGTGCAACCAGGTGCTCAGACTTCCTGAAGAATACAAACCAAATTACATTTTAAAACCCTATCTATAGGCTTCACGGATCTCTTCTGCACTTCCCATTTTAGCGTCCTCCTTCAACTATGACTTAAAAAAAAAAGGGGGGGAGGCCAAAAAGAATTTAAGGGAAACATTTAATGCATTTATCACTGAAAACATGTAAAAATAACTTTGCAATGCAAGACACCTTGCTCCAAATATCACTCATTTTATTACAAGACAAATCAATACAGAGTCTCAAGATAGGTTAAAAATACAGGGACAAAATAAAGCTAAAAATCAAAAAGCCACCAAAAATCATGATACAAAATGAGATAAAAAACAAATTAATATGATATACCATTTAAGAACATAGAATTTTTTATTATGAAATACAACATAGAAAATTAGCTTTTCAATGAGTTACCATGTATTCAAAAGGAGAAGGTTGTTCAGAACCAAAGAAATAAGCAGATGTTGTTGGAAGCTATTAGAAGAAAATTTAGTATACATGAAAAGATACATGCATGATGAAGTGTAATTAAATGTGTAAAACTGTCTCTCAACAGATGAAAATATGAAAATGTCTTTTTTTTTCCTCTCTCATTTAACTCAGAAGCCCTCCATTAGCAAATAAGAAAACAGAGTAGTTGCTTCTTTATATTCCATAAATAAACAGCTTACACAATGTCAAGTCTGCCAACTTTTACCCTGTAGTTATCAAAACATATCAACTTACAGAGGACAGCCACAGCTCCGGATTCAAACATGAGACATTCTTCTCTGTTTCTGGTTTCCACTATCACGCTGAATGGAAGTGGATCCAGCTTGTGATAGACACGGTATCCTTTACTGAAAGCCATTTTGCTTTTATCAGAGGCAGTCCTGTCCAACACAAGATGATGTTAGTGAAACCTTCTTCTGCTTCCAGATACCTTCTGCAAAGCAGGTCTGACTTGCATTCTTTCCCAGGGATTTTACATGTTTAACAAAAAACAAACAACAAAAAAAGACCTGCTCGCTCTTTCTACCTCATGAGACTTATTTTGTCTCATGTTCCAAAACAAATATAGGTACTATCTAAAGACAACACAACAATGTTTCAAAAACACAATTACCCAGAGAAACATCTTTCAAAATAAAGGATTTATTTAAAAGCTTCTCAGAGACAACGAGAATTTCTTTCACAATATTTAATAAATAGGATTTCTTCTTAGGAAAAAAAAGAATGAAAATAAGGTTCTCTAGCCACCACAAATATGTAAGAGTGGCAACTATCTTAACCATAAACTAATGCCAAATGCAGAGGACCAGAAGCCTGGGCAGGCTTCAATTTTTAGATCTATTTTACTGATTCTGACCTTGTACAAAAGGACAGTGTATTTTAAACACTGAAGCTGTTAAGACGTTTTAAAAGATCATACAAAAACATTAACCTATTTTGTTTTTCTTTTTTAAATGAAAGCAGGTTTTTGTTTGGATTTAAACCCTCCCCTGCAGTGGCTGACGACTGAAACATTGCAGTATTGTACTAGTAAAACTGCCTGTAAACCACAGAGGTAAGATCTTCCTTTAGAACAATTAAAAAAACCCAAACAATAAGAAGCGATAAACAAACGCGAGAGTAGCCAAATTTCAAGGGCTTAAGCTCAGGAAACATACAGCGAGGGAAGATTCTTCTTGAAAGCCAAGAGCAGGGTTTTCTGCCCTCTCCCTTCCTTTCAGCTCAGTGCCTGTAACCTCGACACGGCCCTCCCGCCGCCGGTACAGAATGTGCCGTGTGCCG